CAAACCTCATATCATTATTCAGTGGAAATGTCATAGCAAAGGTGAATAATATGAGTTTTGAGGTATAACTTTGAATGAATATCTTTCTTGGAAGCCACATCTTACCTTAATTTGTACAAAAATATAAAGATCTATTGGTGTTCTCTCCAAATCAAGACTTTTTGTGCCATAGTCCATTCTGACCGCTCTCTACGATAGCATTACACTACCTCTGAGGTATATTACAGTAATTGAAATGAGTCATTTCAATTACTGTAATATTGTCTGGCGTCACACCTTTATATTTGCAGTATGGTCGTATTGTATAGGAATACTTGTTCATCATAAATTTGCTTATTATACATAAAAGCCGCAACAATACAATGTAATACGGTCTTAATACGATCGTCACTTTTCATTTTTGTACCCCGAAGCATGGGATGTATTTTACTTATTTCCTTCTAATTTATGTAATAGAATTTGTATAGATACATTTTTTCTCAACTGTGTTTGAATATTCGGTCACAAATATTGTCTTAAAGCATTATGTTTATTTCACAGTGAATAAGTTGGATAGGTTGAAATAGGAATATTGAAAAGGAATAACAGGCTATATTTGTTTTCTTTACAATAATATCATATCGCCAGGAAATGGGCAGATAACAAATTTAAGTCAATATGCTAAGTGTGTTATAGCTTTTATATAAGCAGTTTCCCAAGTAGAAATCTGCATGACTTGTAATACTCTGTAAGTTTAAGCTAGTCAAATGTGCTATATATTACTGATCATTTCAAGCGAATCATGATGTACCACATACGAGCCTGCTCAAGTAGGCACAGTGTTTTTGGAAAAGTATTTGTTACGTTTTATAAATGGACATGTTTTAATATTGTTACGTATGATCTCAGATGGATTTTTCCTTGGTGTTAAAAACATATGTGTTGCGTTCTGATATTGCCTTCAGAAATAAAGTCATTAAAGGTGTTGCACACTGAGCATTTGGTTGGACATTGTTTTGTAAATTTTAATAACTCAATAACAATAAGTACTGTATAGGCCTAGGTAAAGATAGATAGATTTTGAAAAAGATCGTCATTGACTTTTACAGTATAGCACAAGATTCAAGTTAAATCCTAGGGTGGCTCTAATTTTTTTATCGTCTTCATAATTGAGAAGGAGGGCAGGAAAGGGACGTTTAAATCTTATAATATGTCTTTCACATTAGTCCTGCAAGGAGAATGTTTTCATAAATGTTCCATTGGGTTTTCTTTCGAGCAGTTCTAGCTCAATTGTTGGGATTGGGGCACTTTAGGGGCGTCTGACAGGCACTCCCCACCACTTAAATCGTCTGGCAGTGGTCATTTGTGTATCTGTGGACTCTGCCGAACAACTTCCCATTGGTTTCATTGGGTTTCCTTTCCAGCTGATCTAGCTCCATTTTCTGACCTCTTTGGGGCGTCTGGCAGGCACCTTCCACCACTTAAAACGTGGACCCGTTTATGTACCTCGAGACTACAGCGAATCTTCTCAATTTTTTTACCCCTTTGCACCCCCCCCCCCCCCGGCCCCGCTGGCCGCGCCTTCTCTCTCCTCTCTTTCATCCCCCGTTTCTTTTGTTTCCCTTTTGTTTTGTTTTTTTCTCCTTTTCACCTGTTCTTAATTTCATATATTTCAAATATGGCCATTCCGTACCCCCCCACTCATATGCGTGTTTCCAGCACCCCCCCCCCTTCAGCAAAAGTCCGGTGTGTAAAGTCAATACGGGTAGACCTTTGTCTTTTGTTATACGAGCTTTTTCAGCACACCCCCCCCCCCCTTTCAGCATAAGTCCAGTGTGTAAAGCAGGGGCGGATCCAGCCGGCGGCAGGGAAGGGGGCCCAATTCGTGAGAAAATATTTAGCGGCGAAATAGCCTGCCGATAATTCGCATAGTGGGGGAGGGGGTGGAGGGCCCGGGGGGGGGGGGGGAGGTGTAGTGAGCACTAATTTATTTATTTTTTTGCTCCTGAAAATTTGAAAATCGTGCCGGCCGATAATTCGCTCAGGCCCCCCCCCCCCTGGATCCACCACTGGTGTCCAACAATTTTCCACAAAATGACTAAAATGTCTATTGTGCAAAATGTATGACTCCGGAGAGTCTTTGTATTTTAGAGTACCTAGATAATATGCTTTCCATAAGACTCTCATTACCTTAGCCTGCTTATACACTCTTTCAATTCAATGGACTTGAATTTCTCTGTGCTTTAACCTGTACAACTATAATTACTTTTACCTCATTTATCTCTAATCTTTTTTTTTTAAGAGCACCTAAAAAGATTGTAAAATAGGTGTTTTTAGTAATATTGTAATCATGAAGTTTGTATCGTTATGCACATAATCAAGAAACTAAGGTTACCTGTTATATGTTTTTTTAATTATTATGATAATCAGAAAGATTTAATTGCCGTGCACTAATCAAGAACCAAAGGTTACCTGATTACGATTCAATTCCATGTGGTGTTTTAATTATTATGATAATCAGAAAGGTTTGGTTGTCATGCACAATGTTATAATCAAGAACCTAAGGTTACCTGCTTACAATTCTACTATTCCAAACGGTGTGTTTATTGTAGCTTGTTTTATATGCTAAGGAGTATAATTAATCCTTCGGAGTGAAAACATGATTGGAATTAGTACATACAATCCATGATTGTGCAAATCGATATCTGGGGCAGGCAACGTTTGGTCAGATTTTAGCTTTATATTCAAACAACGTTTTGCGTAACTTTTTAAAGTTTTGTTAACAAAAAAAAAAACCTATAGACGCCATGTATATATTTGAAATGTTGGTTTATTTTGCTGAGAGAATATAAACAAATTATTGCTGAGACATGTTGAAAAATGGAAAAAGGAATAGATTACACTTTTCTGCTCATTATTGAATACAGGGAGGGGAGGTCCACCCTGCTATTAAGTTAGCTTCATTAGAAGCAGAACAATAATTTGGGTTTTCTGTTGTACGCAGAAAAATCAAATGTTGTATTCTTTCATTAATATTCGACTTTAAACGCATTTGTTTTGAAAATTCTCGCAGAATTATGTCTTAAATTAGATCCTCTTTCACATTATGATACAATTTGAGTCAAATTTTACCATCAAACTGTTGGGGCTCCCAACGCTTTAGAGGCTCTACACCAGGCGCGGATCCAGGATTTCTTAGGGGGCCCAAATTTGAAATTATGCGACCCAAATATCGGTACGTAATGGTGACCTGCATTGTTGTAGTGGGGGGGGGGGGGGGGGGTGCAGGGAGGGGGCGACTTCCCCCTCCCTCCTCCGCAAAGCGCCTAAGCTTTGACGTTTCATTAAATTATTAGACAAAGAAGACGATTCGTTGTCCCGTTCTCTAAAATAATCCTCGTCTGAATTCAGTTTACCCCCCCCCTCCCGCGCGAAGCGCCGAAGCTTTTACGTTTCATTAAATCATTAGAGAAAGAAACCGATTTGTGGTACCGTTGTCGACTCTTAATCCTCGTTTGAATTTAGTTTCCCCCTCCCGCGCAGAGCGCGGAAGCTTTTACGTTTCATTAAATCATTAGAGAAAGAAGACGATTCGTATTACCATTCTCGACTCTTAATTCTTGTCTGAATTCGGCCCCCCCCCTTTCCTGCGCGAAGCGCGGAAGCTTTTACGTTTTATTAAATCGTTAGAGAAAGAAGATGATTCGTATTACCATTCTTGACTCTTAATTCTTGTATGAATTCAGTCCCACCCCCCCTTCCTGCGCTTTTACGTTTCATTAAATCATTAGAGAAAGAAGACGATTCCTATTACCATTCTCGACTCTTAATTCTTGTCTGAATTCGGCCCCCCCCCTTCCTGCGCGAAGCGCGGAAGCTTTTACGTTTCATTAAATCGTTAGAGAAAGAAGACGATTCGTATTACCATTCTCGACTCTTAATCCTTGTCTGAATTCAGCCCCCCCCCCTCCTGCCAGAAGCGCGGAAGTTTTGACGTTTCATTAAAATTATTAAAGAAAGAAGACGTTTCGTTATAGCGTTCTCGACTCTTAATCCTTGTCCGAATTTCAAAAATGTGTTTTTTGTCTACTCCTTTTTCTTCCTACGTCCTCTTTTTCTTCTCTCCTCTCTTTTTTTTTGGCCGATGTTTTTTTTTTGGGGGCGCCCCCACTGCCCCCATGGCTACGCCTTTGCGGTTAGATGAACGTATTTTGATACCTTGTCCGCTCCCGGAAACTCAGGGGATTAAGGCAATAAATTACGGTCAGATGAACATATTTTTCTAGCTTATTTGTGCCACTGGCAGGACACTTATTGGCGTGGGGTCCAGCGGGCGGAGCCCCCAAAAGCTCAAGGGTTTTAGGCACTGAATTACGGTCAGATGAGTATCAGGGGGCCCGCCTTAGGGCCGTAAGTTGAGTCCAGGGGGCAGAGCCCCTGGAAGCTCAGGGGTTTTATATTAGGCGTTTAATTACGGTCAGATGAGCATTTTTTGATACCTTATTTTGTTGTGGCACTGGCAGTTAACTTTTTTTTCTTTCTTGCTCTTTTTCTTTCTATTCCTCTTTAATATACTTTGTCAAAAAATTGTGGGGGGGGGGGGGAGCTGGAAGAGGTAAGAGCTAGGTCACCTTTTTTTTTTTTAGTCCCAAAAAAATCGCAACGACTCAGCCAGCCGCTGAATAAGCCGGGGGGGGGGGGGGGGGGGGGTAAGAGTTTTTGGTCACAAAATTTTTTAATTTGACATTTTGCTCCGTTGGGGGGGGGGGGGGGGTAAGGTCTCCTTTTTAGGTCAGCCATTGGCATATATATATATATTTTTTTGATAAAATAATTTTAAAAAAGGGGCTGATTTTAACATATTTATTGGGGCACGTGCCCCCTGTGCCCCCCCCCTGGATCCGCCACTGCCCCATACCAAAACTTCGTGTTACCTAAGTACAGTGGCGTACGCAGGATTCATTAGCAATAGAATAGAATAAAGAGTGTCGATAATTTCAAATCTGTTCTTCAATAAATTGCCCCTCTTATTAGTCGATTGAAGACACCATTGGCATTAACAAAAAATCGGACAGATCATCAAGTTGTTGGAAGTTCAGTGTTATCGATTCGCGATTATTGAGGTAAATATTAGATAGTTTCGTTTTGTATGCAGCTTTAGTCTATCCTCTTCTTACTTTATATGTAAAAGTGCTAGAAAATAGAAATATAGACTGTAAATTCCCCAGAATATTGACGTGGCCAGATTTGCCCTGACAATATTTTTATTATCATGATTAGTCTATGTGCACATGCACAGATTGTTTAATAAACCAATTGAATATGTATGCAAATGCGCACCCAGAAAAGAGCGCCTAGAGGGGAGTCCTAGCCTATCTGGGCACACATAATACATATTAGGAGCATCACTATGACACTATCCTGACTGTGTAGTAAAAGCTGAGCTTTTGATTCTCAACATTTCAAACACCACTGTACAAAACTCAACTGATTTCACTCAAAATCTGTACTTTAGGGACAATTGATGACACCTTAATAGCAGTAAAATACATTTTTTTCAACTTACTGATGACAAAAAGAATAATTTAAAAATTCAAATTGTAAGTCTACTGTCAAATTTTGCTTACAGCCGCATCGGCATGATTGTGTGCGTTCTATGCCATATTGTGTGGTGTGTATATTTGTGTATAGGTCTAATAATACCTGCCTCACAGCAAGTATGCAGTGCTAGAGGTCAATACGTGCATGGCTCAGATCAAGGGCCAGGGTACACTTAGATTGAACACTGGGAAACTGTTCAATTATCCAAAACCATGAGACCCAGACACAAATTATCATTTTTATATTAGAAAGTACCATTTGGGGAAGCTCAAAACAAAGTTTCAGCTTCATTGAGTTCAAATTAAAGATTTTAGAGCAATTTTATGATGAAAAAAAGGCCTTTTTTCAGCACTTTTAATGTTACATTCAAAACATGCACTAATTGGTTACCAGATTCTTACTAATGGGATGCAAAACTTACGATTTGTTTTCATCTTGATGTAGAATCTATGTAATAATTAACATTTCTGTTGAGTTAATTCGTAGTATTTTACTTTCTTATTCCATTTACATGTGAAACAATTTTTGTGATATGTACATAACTTTGGTGTCCTGCAAAATTCAAACCTTACTAACTGAAGAATGGTGTATAAATAATTGATTTATTTACAAGCTTGCAATGTTATATGTTTAGTTTCACTTTATCTCGATTTCCAGTCAGATCATTTCATTCTGGGTCATGGTTTTAAAAATATTTAGATGTCTGTAGACTGTAAATAGAAAATGTTTGGTGTCCTGCAGTTATGTACATACCAGTGCAACAGAATCTATACAAAAACATATTGTATACTTTCAAAATGATAATGTAATGGTGTATATAGGTGAATGAAGAGCACTGATAACATTGGATTCTGCATTTTAACTTGTATCAACAATGAATGTGGACACAAATACAGTTATTTACGTACACCACGTTTTTTTTCTTCAATAACACCCCCTATATTTAGTTATTTGTCATGGTAAGTTAGTAAAAAATGTATAAGACATACACACGTCTGATTTGGTGAGAAGAATATTACAAAATATTGCAGTTTGAACTTTTTCATGTCATGTACATAACTGAGACACTTTTATGAAAAGACACCGAGTTATGTACGTTACTACCAATCAAAAATTTGAAATAAATTATCATAAATAGATTTATTTATATCTTACAGCATGAATTACATCCTTCTGCATTTTCATTTAAACAAATATTTATTGAATTTAAGGAACAAGAAGTTATTATTTGAATGGCAATGGTTTTAAGTTTTGTTTACGGTATGTTTTAACATCTAATGTACTTTGTCAGAAAAAAGTATAAGGGAAATATCAGCATGAAGTGGACACTGAGTTATGTATGTAACATTTTTGATGATGTGATATTTAGCTACTGATTGCCGTTTAACGGCAATTTGTAAAGGTCTAATTTTTTAGCTACAGTGTATGTGTTGCATAATGTTTGCAGATTACAAATATAATGTTGCCACAGTCTATAATTGACGTTAAAATTCACCTCATATGTAACACTTTTGTGCCCTTGATCAGAGCCATGCACACACGCATTAGCATTGACTCTCTAAGCTTTGCTGGAGTGTATCTGGGTAGGTATTCTGAACATTGTTGTAAGTTTTGTGTTATCTTTTGTTGTATCTTCCAGAGATAATACAGCGCTAATATTATTGTAAGTTGGTATTCTGAAAATCATTTTATCCCTGTGTTATTTAATAGGGAGGCCATTAAAAAATACCCGTTTGTAAGCCGTAAGCTTTTCTTTTTCCATATATGCTTAAATCTATAAGTAGTGAAAATTTCACTGAGTTCTGATGAGGTTCAAGAAAGATAGAGAGTTTCACATTGTTGAACGACTCGTATTTGGTTGTTCCTCGATCACAGCTTTTTTCTTAAGTCAATAGTAAATGAATGGAGAGCGACAGCTTAATTTTCCATGTAAAAAATGACTGTAACTTCCTTAATACTGAAGGTAAGGAAGTGAATTAGGTATCAAATGAAAGCAGGGAAAAAAATACTTTAAAAATGTCGGGGGCTACTTTTCAAGCTTGCTTGCAGCACAGTCATCAAATATACAGGTTGGCACTTCAACTTCAATTACATTTCGTTTTGGCACTTCTAACAAACTATTTGAGAAGGCCTGCTCTAGGTAATTATACACAGTAATTGCAGCACAGTCATCAAATATACAGGTTGGCACTTCAACTTCATTTACATTTCCTTTTGGCACTTCTAACAAACTAGTTGAGAAGGCCTGCTCTAGGTAATTATACACATCTGGGGGGTGTTTCAATAAGATCCCAAGTCGAACTTAACTCCAAGTTGTACTTAAATATTACGGAGAGCCATTCATAGCCTTAAAATAAAATATATTCAAAAGTGAAAATTCAAGTATTTTAGAATTTTTATAAATTCCACATCAAGAACATGAAATCTCCTTGATAATAGAAAATATAAATGATTCGAATCAACATTTTATGCCTTTTAAAATAACTTTACAAAATATCTCCATAGATGCTAACGGCTTTCCATAATTTTTAAGTCCAACTTAGAGATACATGTAAGTTCAACTAAGGACCTTTGAGAAACACCCCCCTGATGTGCGAAAGGGGTCCTGTGTGGAAATGGGATCTACTAGAGTAGCCTAAAGACATTTACCGGTAGGTCATTTGTAGACCAATATTTTTATGCCTCTGTTATGAAGTATCTGGAGGCATTATGTTTTCAGGTTGTCCGTCCGTCTGTACATCCATACGTCCCGTTCTTGTGATCGCGTTATCTCAAGAACCGACTGATGGATTCCTGCCAAACTCTGGTCATGTATGTAACTTGCAGAGCCAATGAATTGATTAGATTTTGGGGTCACGAGGTCAAAGGTCAAAGGTCACATGGCTCATTATGTATGCAAAAATAGCTCGTGATCGCGTTATCTCAAGAACTGATTGATGGATTCCTGCCCTACTTAGGTCATGTGTGAATCTTGCAGAGCCAATGAATTGATTAGATTTTGGGGATAAAAGGTCAAAGGCCAAAGGTCACAGGGCTCATTATGTAGGCAAAAATAGCTTGTGATCGCGTTATCTCAAGAACTGATTGATGGATTCCTGCTCTACTTAGGTCATGTATGTATCTTGCAGAGCCAATTAATTGATTAGATTTTGGGGTCATGAGGTCAAAGGTCACAGGGCTCATTATGTATGCAAAAATAGCTCGTGATCGCGTTATCTCAAGAACTGATTGATGGATTCCTGCCCTACTTAGGTCATGTGTGAATCTTGCAGAGCCAATGAATTGATTAGATTTTGGGGATAAAAGGTCAAAGGCCAAAGGTCACAGGGCTCATTATGTAGGCAAAAATAGCTTGTGATCGCGTTATCTCAAGAACTGATTGATGGATTCCTGCTCTACTTAGGTCATGTATGTATCTTGCAGAGCCAATTAATTGATTAGATTTTGGGGTCATGAGGTCAAAGGTCACAGGGCTCATTATGTATGCAAAAATTGCTTGTGATCACATTATCATTAGAACAGATAGACAGATTACCATGAAACTCAGGACATGTATGTACCTTGCTGAGGCAATGAACTGAATACTTAGATTTTGGGGCCATGAGGTCAAGTTCAAAGGTCATGGGGCTCATTTTGTATGCAAAAATAGCTTGTGATCACATTATCATTAGAACCGATGGATGGATTACCATCAAACTCAGGACATGTATGTACCTTGCTGAGGCAATGAACTGAATAGATGTTGGGGTCATGAGGTCAAAGATCAAAGGGTCATACATGTGTATCAGAAATAGCTTGTAATCACAATATTCTGAGAACCTGTCAATGGATAACAATCGGATTTGAATTTGAAAAATTGCTTCTGTTTTGATTTGTAAATTGCTCTATGACGGAGGCATCATTTTTGACTGCGCGCAGTCGAAGTTCCATCTAGTTTATTTAATTTTACTACCGGTATGTTTGAAAATTAAATTCCATTAGTTAGTTCTTATGTCATTTATGATTTATCCATTTCAGTTTTGATACCCATGATGCATCAGCCTGTGCAGTCAGGACGGCTTCTCGACACCAAGCAGGTCCTCGGAGAGCATCTGTTTGCCAAGGTGTCTGAATTGCATGATGGGAAGACTGATCGCATCACAGGGATGCTTCTGGAAGCCAAGAACGAAGATGTGATGAGGATGTTAGAGGATGCTACCTTTCTCAGAAGAAGAATAGAAGGTGCTCTTAGGGTGATACAAGAGTAGGTATTGTTTAAAACAAAACAAGTATTGTGGTCTAGTTTTGCTTTTTGTGTGATGTGATAATGATTAATGGAAGGCCTACCGGTAAACAAAAAAGATGTTGTATTGCCCTTTAGGTGCCAGCACCTGGGTTGATCAGTCGATTTTCTTATTTTGTTGTTGTTGTTTCTTCCTCTTTGGGCTGATATTTGTCAGTTTTGTATTACTTTAATACATATTTATTTATTCATTAAAAAAGAACATTTTTTCTTCTAAAAAAAACTGTTTAAAACACTGTTTAATAAAAAGCCGACCATAGATTTTAAGATTTTTGGGTCAGTTGCAAAGAGCAATACAACATTTTTGTGTTAAGGCCTAATAGAGCTAGCTTCAGCATAGAATGTTCTTTGCTTAATGAAATATGAAGAAAGAAATTAATAAATAGAAATAGGTAAATAAATAGGCCATATATAATTATAGTAAATAAAAATGTCTCTAGCTCCCTGCTTTTCTGTAAAAAAACGAAAAGGGGAGCCTTTTTAAAAATGTTTGTTGTCAATTTCCAAGACAACTGGGCCCCGTTTTACAAAGACTTGCGATTGATTTGATCGCAAGTCCTCCAATCAATCGCAAGTTTGCAGTCTCCTATCTCTTACAGTATGTACATAGTTTTGATTAATATAAATCGCAAATAATTTGCGATTGATATCAACTCTTTGTAAGACGGGGCCCTGGTTAGGCAATTTTATCAAAGAACCCCCAGTCTTGTGTACTTGGGCATTGGAAATGGACTAGGGAAAATTACTTTTTTGGCTTTTATAGGCTGGATGAAACAGAAAGTGAGACCTTAATGATGTGCAAATAATCATTGTATTTTTCAATAAAATAAAGTGGGTAGGCCTTAGAAGCAGATAGCTTCAAAAACAGAAGGAGGACAAGGGTGTAAATAAGGATTTTTGACAATTTTAACTTATTTCTATTTGTCTTCCCATTTCTAATAGGAGTGAATATAGGAACATGTGAAAAGTTCAGTGATTGCCAAAATTCCATTGCAATTGATGCATATATTATATTGCGGTCGACAGAAAATTAACCCCTCGACTACTGAATCCCATAGGTTTTGGTTCTTCTGGAGCCCTGTACTGGGGGGGGGGGGGGGGTTCATGTTATCCTTTATTTCGTCATACTCCTTAACCATACTCATTAATGGAATGCCGGGTACATTCTTTTAAAGATTGACCCCTGATTTTATCAATTCAATCTATACACAAATAATTTTTTCAGGTGATTGGTACACTTTAAGTAATTGATGAATAATATACAAGTTCTTGAGAGGTTCTGGTTAAAACTATGGGTAACAGGTTACTCCAATATTACTATTGGAGTCACAGAGGCCCATAGTTTTAACCAGTACCTCAAAAAGAAGGCAGAGTAGATTGCACGGAGGAGCTTGAAATCCTGTATGCTTGCTGAATTTTCAACTCCCAAATAGTACTTTTTCAGAGCAACCTTAAAGTTGCTCATGCGTGGGTATATAGAGGGCAGCACAACTTATTACGCACAGGAGCGTAATACCCATTGGCTCATTATGTAGTGATCGCCAACTTGCCTACTTCCCCTTAGACTATATACCCACGCATAAATATCTTTAAAATTGTTGAAATATTTCTGGTCACCTGAAGAGCTCTCAACCAATCAAAAAACAATACATTTTTGATGCATGATGAGGATATAATATGTTATATCAGCTGACTGATTTGTATGAGGAAATACTATTGAATAGTTCATATTTATTTGACACAGGGAAGATAAATCAGCAAGCGGAAAGGAACAAATTGGTGAAGAACTCTTTACACTTGTATCCAAAATAGAGCCTATTCAGTGTGCCAAGATAACAGGTGAGTTTATATTTACTCAATTATTCCTAAACACTACCCCTTAAATCACTCAAGCAACTACTATCCATCTGTAGATGTGCCAATTTCACCCGCTATGGACTTCTACAGGTTTGTCCAGATATATACCGCTGCTAAAAATAGCCATGTTTAAATAAATGGCAACTGCAGACAATAAATATCCTACTCGTATCTACTATTGATCTTCTATTCCTACTCTCCACCGACACAGTTGTAGTAAATGGATGCCTCGTAGGAAGTTATTATTATGTGTGGTGGTGGTTATTCTAATACCTGACTGCTAAGAAAGCATAAATGCTTGTAAGTAAGCAACCAGACGGCCGACGGCTTTAGGTCCTCTGCGAGGGACCTGTTAATGAGGATTAATGCCTTACCAAAGGGGTCTAGTGCATCGACTTGGTTTCGAACCCGGGTCACCGGATCACGAGACCACTGCTCTACCGATTGAGCTATCACGCCTCCTTTGAATTCTGATCACAGCAGCTCAGCTAAAGACAGAATAATATGATTGCAGGGTCCTTTAAAAGAAGAGTGTTCAAAATGAAGTTCAGTGTTGTTCAGGTGATTACACTTAAAGAGAAACTTTCTGGACGCAATTTGGGAAGGTTTATTTTGTACCATGTAAGAATTGATGCAGGAGATGGTCAAAATGAAAAGGAAATTAACCGTGCTCGCTAAAAAAAAATCCAATGCATGCACGCAGAAATATAATGCTACTATGCACTCATGTGGAATAGAAATTTGGTCCAAACTGTTTTCAAGCTAATTATTTTTGAATTACAAATATGAGGGCATCTGAAAACGAATCCTTTTCAGGAGACATTTCTTGTACGTATTCTTAAACCTGACAGAATGATGATAATCAATATGGATTTATAAATATTATTGCATTGGTCATTGGTTTCATTCACGCACAGTGTGCACCATCTCCACTCACTTGGAAGTATTCATATGGTAGGAATAAAGAAAAAGGAGGAGAGAGAGAGAGCTCGCAAATATTTGTTTACCTTTACCAGAACTCGGCCTGATGAGGCTACCCTGTAACCTCCCCCTGAGCGTATAAAAACAACTACCGGTATGTCTCTCATAGCAGTCATTATTACTATACTATTATTAGTTATATATGAATAATATCATTTGCAGGTATGCTTCTGGAGTTGGATGTAAAGGTGATCTGTCGATTGCTCACATCACCTTCAGAGCTCAGGCAAGCCGTCCAGAAATCGCTAAGCTCTCTCAAGGCCGATGGTAGTCGCAGAGAAGAAATGGGAGAGCATCTTTACGGGTTGGTGGCTAGTCGTTACACTGAGGAGTCTGCTGCCAAGATCACCGGTAGGTAGAGTGTTGCTTAGATTGGCAACTGTCTGTCTTGAGAGGGCACTAGTGCCCTTTGGTAAGGTATTTATCCTTATTACCAAGTCCAAGGGTAAAACCAATCAACCAATCATGGAATGTTCTTTTGATAGAATCAGGGGCCCGTTTCATAAGTTATATACACTGTACATCTTTCTTTGTACAGTGCTTGTAACTTTACCCAGACTGGGCCAAATTTGTTATGATTTTGATGACTCCAGAACCTTGCAGTACACACCAATACTTACAACCTACATGATCAACTTTTTCTGATCCATTCCACACCTTTTCTTTTTACAATGCAATCGCATGACCAGAACCCAATTTTGTCTTTGATTACGTGAGTCGTCCATCACAAGATGATTTTCTGACAAATACGAAAACTTACACTAGGCCATCAAATCCTGTCTGTGGCTAGACATTGTGCCTGCTTCTGTTCTGTGCATTCATATGCCCGATTATCCTTGAATCAGTTAATTTCCAATAGACCGGAAAGGCAAAACTAAACTGATATGGGGACTTCTTTTTAATTTTGCTCTTATTGTTTGATACAGGGATGCTGCTTGAGATGTCAGATACGCAACTTCATCAGATGATGCAGGACAAGACATTCCTAGAAGAAAATATAAGACTTGCAGAAGAAGCTCTTTCAAGTCAACAACCAAGATGACACACAATGAATACTAATTGACTCCACCAAATGAGGCGGGACAAGACACAAAGACGTAACTCCATATTTTGCCAAAATGAGTACAAATCGATATAAAAATGTTCAGAAAAATGTGGGCTTTCCAGGAAACACAACGACTTAACTCCACCCAACACCTCATTGAAGTCAATGGCTAGTGAAACCTAGAATCACATCATATAAGCTTACTAGCTTGGTTTTTACTTGCACTGGACTTACTGTAAATTAAGGAGTGATTTCTCCACACACCATTCCTGCAATTCATGACATTCCTTGTAGTTACTCGCCTCACCTACCATCCTAGTATAGCTTCCTGAGTGAGCTGCCAAAGGGATTACCCAACCAAGCACCAAGACTTAACTCCTTAAGGCCCAAGTGCTCAGTGACACATGAACCACTTTTTCTCAAAATGGCCAAAATGGAGTTATATCTTTGTGTCACTGACCCCTCGATATGGTGTTGTTTTGGGGCGTGTTCTATATGCTAATGATTGACAGGTGGGGATGAAGATTTAAACAAAGGTCCTTCATGTACTCACTTATATCTGTGTGTTATAAGATACCAAAAAAAGAATGCGAAGTGCAATAATACTGAAGAAAGTCGAGTTGAGAGGCGAAATATAATTTGTTAACGTTATCATTGTTCACTTAATGCAAGTGTGGAAGAACATCCGGGAGAAAACGTTCCTTGAAATGCATGGCTCTTCAAATGCCTTCATATTCTAAGTAAGACAAGTAATAGCTTAAAAATGAGGCCCGATTTTTATGCTACATATTTGTGTAGTCCCATATATAATATTCATCTTTCTGTGTACAGTACATCTTACTTTACCAAGACTGGGCCGATTTGTCTATCATTTTGATGATTCCAGAACCTTGCAGAAGTTGCAGTACCCACCAATACTTATATACTACATGATAAACTTTTCTGATCGATTCCACACCATTTCTTTCACAATGCAATCGCATGACCAGAACTCAACTTCATCTTGAAGTACGCTTAAAAATTTAAATATGTGTGAACGAGCCTTAAAAATACTTGTACCTCTATAAAGCATTTTAAATGTGGGGTCCTGTGCATTGGTATTTTGTGTGCGCTATCTTTAGTAGAGGATGCCTTGTATGATACTGAATAGAAATTGCATGCAGTTCTGTGGAAAAACTGGAAATATTATAGAAAGCTTTCTTCTACATAATCCGTATGACAAAATGGAAATGTGCAAGGTATGCCATTCACTGAGATTACTCTAGAAGTAATTTCATATGAGCAAATTTCTGCCTGTATAATCCTACTGCCAATCACGCTTTGGACTAATTTGTCAATATTTTGACGAGTAAACATGTAACTACAATATGTGTACAGTGTGCAAAGAGAAAAAAGAAGATGTTGAAAATATATTTATATAGAAAAGAGTGTTGGTTGAAAAAGTACCTATAAATCCACATGCATGCATGCATGCAATTTGAATTGAATTGAATGTGCATAGAGAAGAAAGGAAGAGATTGAAAAAGATAATGAGAGAAGGGGAGGGGGAGGGGGGGCGCATGTGCAAACAGAAAAGAGGAATATAGAGAGGTGGGGGTTAAAATGAATCTGTAAGATCCACATGCATGTGCAAACAGAAAAGAGGAATATAGAGAGGTGGGGGTTAAAATGAATCTGTAAGATCCACATGCATGTGCAAACAGAAAAGAGGAATATAGAGAGGTGGGGGTTAAAATGAATCTGTAAGATCCACATACATGTGCAAACAGAAAAGAGGAATATAGAGAGGTGGGGTTAAAATGAATTTGTAAGATCCACATGCATGTAGAGAAGAAAGGAAGAGATTGAAAAAGATAACGAGAACAGGGGGGGGGGGGGGGGGAGTTAAAAAATTACCTATATGATCCCTATTTATGTATGTGCATATAGAAAAAAGGAAGAGATGGGGGGGGGGGGGGTTGGAGTTAAAAATAAACTACAGTTGATATGTTCCCTGTTTATGTATGTGCATAGAGAAGAAAGGAAGAGATTGAAATAGATAAAGAGAAGGGGGATCTAAACCATTGCCTATATGATACCTATTTATGTATGTGCATAAAGAAGAAAGGAATAGATCAATAAAGAGAGGGAGGGGGGGGGGGGGGGGGGAGGTTGGAGTTGACAATCACCTATATGATCCATATTCATGTACATGTGCATAGAGACACAAGAGGGTGAATGAAATGAGGTGGAGGTGGGATGGGGATATTTATTTCTTAATTACTAGGCAAAAAGACTGATGAACTAATATGACTACTGTGTTCGTTTCTAGTACTTTAATAAATCAAGCTGTGGTCTTACATTGCAAATATAATTATCAATAAATATATATACACATTTCTATTGAAAAAAAAACATGTTACTTGTGTCATTTTATTGTCTACCATTGCCTGTGCTAAAATATATATTTGTTTCTTTAAGTGCTTGGCATGATATCTACAATAAATTTAACAATTTATTCCAGTAATTGCAAGTACATCTTTCAATAAAGATGAAATACAATGTAATTGTTAAATACTCATAAATCTACTAAATAAAATGTTGAAAACTTAGTGAAATGAATGGTATCGTTTTGGTCCTGCGGTAACGCATAGTGTTATGGAGACAAACACGCTCAGAATGTACACTAAAGGCTTGTTCAGATATGGTGCTGGAAACCACCCCCAAAATCATGGCGAGTTTTTTCTTCTTCAAGTAAACAAATGGCAACTGCACACACTAAAGGACTTGCACAAATTCACTGAGCTCAGTGTTGTAAGATACAGAAACGTGAAGCAAATTACTTTCTATGGCGGCATTAAAAAAACGTATTTTTGCTGCATCGTGTCTGAACGAGTCTTGGTCACATAGAAATTCAAGCTACATTGTAAACTAAGGATATCAAAAGCACAAAGTCTATATACATGTGCTAAAAAATGAACCCTGTGAAATTAAATAAATGATAAAGATACAAAACCATGTTATGCTACAGTCACAAAGTCACAAAGGTTCGTACGAAGGATAATTTCGTACGAATCTCCGTTTTTCCATTGTCTTCTCGAATTTCCATTGTCTGAAAATTGTTCATAATGGCATTTGTGACCGAGGCTTAAAATAGGGCTCGACCGACTTCCATAAATAAGTATACAATCCCAATTCACAGGAATATAGAACTTGCTAAAGCACCTACTTTACTTCATCAAACTAGTATATCTCTAGCTCTGAAGATCTATCCTACTTCCAGATGGATTGGATTTTCCTTGCTATTACTGAAATAATTGTACAGTCAAACATGCTTTAGTGACCACCCGTATAGAAAGACCACCTGTCTACATTTTTGGCTTCTCTTGAAAATGGTTTCTCATTGAAACATGTACTAAAGGAACCTGTACATAAAGACCACCTGCCTATTAAGACCACTTTTCTTGTCTCCCTTAGGTCGTCTTTATATACAGGTTGCACTGTACCATGTTGGAAAAAGTAGACTACATTATGTAATCTGCTTTTCTAGTATTTCGATGTACATGAAATTCAAGCTCAGTAAACTTCAGATTTCATGGGCAGTAATGATCGAAAACCAGCTTGAGCTTGGGTCCTGCCAGGACTTCAAATCTTGCACTTTATTCATCTTTGCATGATAACAAAGCGAACGGGTGACATTACAATTATAACAAGTACATGATAGAAGGTAAATTGAAGTATGAAGCTTCTTAAAGTGTGGAATGCATTAGCAGTTACAGGGCAATGTTTCATAAAACTTGTTATCAATATAAACAAATACTAGATTTCTATGACAAATTTGCTCTCAGCCAATCAAATGCTACGATTCCAGTAGCTTATAACAGTTACCGTATCGTAACTTGTTTTTGATAACAAGTTTTATGAAATAGAACCCAGGTATGGTACAAGGAATGTACACGTAGCTGGAAAAGAAGACTTAGATATTAAAGCATCATGTTGAAAAATGAAATTCTCAAACTTCTATTTGCACTACCAAAAAAACAGAAAGATACAATAGCTTATTACACTGTAGATGGTAATCAATGCTTACCTTGATTTAGCTTAGCAATCTGTGTGGTATTAACATAATATTTCAGTTATATGTGCATTATAATGTACTATAGTTTAACGAGTTGCTCATTATGATCACTTGGCAAAATGTAGTCGCACGAAAAGACGCGTCCGCAACGCAAAATGCGTAATTGTTGAAAATCATAGTGCCACACATTGTTAGGATATTGAGCCCTTGACCCCCCAAAATGAAATCCTGACTATATACTTGGGTGTCTTGCCCCCCCCCCCCCCCCCACCTAACAACATACCCTGGCGCCACCCCTGCATACATATACTATCTTCATTACGGTAGGCTTAATGTTACCTAAACTTCCAGTCAGGCATGTCAAAAAAAGAACTTTTCACAAAGTAAACAGATATCACAAACTAGTACGCCTTCTATTCTAAATTTTGCTACATTGAAAGACTCGTGCTCCAGCAACAATTGCTCTGTGATCAATTTCTAACATTTAAACATGTCTTAGCTTCTACCTTGGTTCCTACATTATTTCTCATTCTTAACCTGACCTCGAACCTTAACCCTAACATACCATCCATTCATGTCCCTTTACTACAACCCTACATTCTTGATAAAATAAAAGAGCAAATAGCAAATTTTGTCCGATCACCCTATAAAGAGCATTTAAACCTAATTTGATAATACATGTAGTCAAATTTGACTTATTACCATATAACGCTTAATTCAACAACAACATTTGACAAAAGCAGATACATGTCAGGGGCGGATCTAGCTTTTTGCTAAGGGGGGGGGGGGGGTTGACCAAAATAATGACGATGCGGAGCATCGTCCACGAGCCGCAAAGCGGCGACCCGATTTTTTTGGGGGGGGTTTATTTGAACCCCGTAAGTGATGTTTTCCTGGCATCTATTAACACAATGGAGACCATAAAAAGCAGTGCATGATAACGTCTTTTTAAATACACAGTTATATCCAGAGTTATCATGTGTTTGGTTAAGTTACCAGATGAGTTGAATATCTTCTCACAATATTTGCACTTGAAAGGGTTTCTCTCCAGCGTGCGTTCTTTTTTCTTTCTTTTTTTTCTTTTTTTCCCCCCTTTTTTTTTGTTTGTTTTTTTGGGCCGCCCAAGGGGGGGTTTAAACCCCCTAAACCCCACCGTAGATCCGCGCCTGGCAAGGGACTCTGTGACATTTGTTCGCCCAACCCCCCCCCCCCCCCCCTCCCCCCAAAAAGAAATAATAATAATAATAATAATAATAATAATAATAATAATAAATGAAATAAATACATAGAAATAGAATAAAATAAAATTACAAGTTTAAAAAAAAAGATAAGATTTAAAAAAATGGTCCCCGGATTTTTTTTGGGGGGGGTTGCAACCCCCCCAACCCCCCTCTAGATCCGCTTCTGCATGTCGAACATACCAATAACATTCACATTACATTTCCATGCACAAATACCTTCATAAACTTGACTTGACTCTACATTTAGTGCACACATCGAGAGCAAGGCATAATATATTACATAAAAATGCTCCTTTGACTGCATTGCATAGAAAAATCAACATATATGTAAATAAGAATGCTTTAATAAAAAGAAACTGGAATATTTGCTTTTAATGAAGACATTGATTGCACTATCCTATATATTCAATTGATGGGCACAAATGTATACAAATGAGTATGCAAGACCTACATTTCTATCCCTTCACATTAGAATTAAGAAAATAGATAAATTTGTTTACCAGATAATATAATTGTGTGAATATTAACAATAAGCTTAACAATTTTTGTACATGTATCATCATTCTAGAAAACATAAAGTTAGGACATTTAATCTATAGTAAACATGTATAACGGTGTACCACAATACAAAATACCCAGTTTCTATGCAGGTTAAGAAGAGTTCTGGTCGAAAAAATATTTATATCAGATAATCAGACACTAGTTTAATTGTTCAAGTGAAACCCACATATATTGCTGATTCTCAGATCAGGTTTTTTTCACAAATTCCAAACAAAGGACGGTGTCACAGCACTAAATCTTTTGAGACAGGAAAGGTTTTTGCGCTCTCCTTAAAATTCATGATTTTTGAGATACGAGGTTTTGTCACCCCACCGACGATATGTGACAAAGAATGACCGAACAGCTTGGACGAGCCCAGACAATCAACATAGAACACAGTGGTATAACAAATACAGATTAACATGTCAACAATAATAATAATAATAATAATACTCAGCTTTTATATAGCACGAATTACTATTAAGTCTGTAAGCGCTTCCAAACTTGGAGATTATTACCCCAGCTTTAGCTGTGCTGCCATTAAGGCGCTCTAGCATTTCATGGAATTAATTCCTGCCAGGTACCCACTTACATCAGTGTAGCAAATGTAGATCAATGTCTTGCCAAAGGACATTAGTGCCGCGACGGGACTCGAACCGCAGACCTTGTGATCAACGGTCCGATTACGTAACCACTCGACCACAACACCTCTACATTCTTTTTAAGACAAAAGATCAGGGTCCTGTTTCATCAAACTTGTTATCAATAACAAGTTACAAAAACTGTTTAAGCTACTGAAATGGTGGCATCTAATTGCCAGAGAGCTAATTTGTAACAGAACTGCAGCATTTGTCATTGATAACAGATTTATTAAAGGTACTATGTCCCTTTTGCAGCCAACCTCAAATTCTGTAGAACTTTGCAGGAATTATGAATATGTCATGTATATGTCCTATCTGTGAAATTGAAACGTTAGCAGTGTCCTCATATTCAAAATATGCAAGGAAACCCGTTTACTTGCTAGACTTCACTGTCAGACACTATTGAGTGACTGACTGGCTTTTTTTCTTCTTTGGTAATAACATACATAAAAAGAGTTGTAAAGGGTACATGAGCTTTTGTCTACATCAATAACCCACTTCTTGTGATGGCCAAGATTAAATTGATTGAATCTTTGCGCAGCATAAAACGTATGACCATTCGGTACAATTGTCTGAAAATCAAGACGATTACTTTTGGGCTCTATAGCCCTGAAGTCGATTTGACAACTAATAGTCGTTTCTTTCCCTCTTGAAGACATTTTCAAGCCCCACCTTTTTTAGGCAAGTTCTAAATTAGTATTATCTTTCAAATGCAGTTGGAATTTAACTTTTTCATTTTTTTGGCCTGCAAAAGGGACATAGTACCTTTAAGCAGGGCCCAGCAGTAAGTTAAAATCAACAATCAAGCCCATCACTATTTTCTTGAATAGATTTCAATCTTGAAGACACATCTGGTGAAAACAAGTACGCATTCTTTTAAAGACAGCATAGTTGTGATGAAGAAGCCGACATTTAACAGTGATTTTAACGGCCAAAATCACTGTTTTTAGACAATTTACACCATACATGTATACCTGTATATATATATATATATATATATATCTCAGAGCATGCTATGTATTCCGTACATGATATGCATGATAAGTTTGCCTACATGCTAGATCCTAACATTATACTTTCTGTGACAGACACTCATACATTTTACAATTTAACTACATGTAAATGTACAGTCAAACCTGCTTTAGTGACCACCTGTCTACAAAGGCCACATTTGTTGTTTCCCTTGAAAATGGTTCTCATTGAATTATGTACTAAAGGAACCTGTCTACAAAGACCACTTTTTGTGTTTTCCTTGGGTGGTTGCTATAGACAGGTTTGACTGTAGTACCGTATGTACTCTCTACTCACAACGGAAATTATGTCATCTTAAAAAGAATTTTGTTTAAACATAAATATACATTTAATAATCAGCACATAAAAAGTGTATGGAATATATCGATGAAATAAGTAACAATACAATATGGTTCATAAGAAGCGCTGGAAGTATTACACCAATCTGAAGTTGATAGCCTACCAAGATTTAGAGCAATTAATGTAGAGATTGCACTAAGTACAGTATGTCACAAATTGTGTATTAAAGACCCAGTCAGAAGTGAAAATGAAAGAGATGAGTTACATACATGTATCAACAGAAAGCTTATAAGCCATAAATTACAATAATATCAATTTTATGCTATTTTATTGTCTGTGTCGGAGGAGAAACAACTCTCTGAAAACTTGAAATCTAAAGCTTTGAAAATCAGAAGTTGTCGACATTAAAACTGGCTATCGACTAGATGACATCTTATATAGAGTATGCATATTCAAGATGACTTTGCATTGATTAAGCACGGCTCATCACCTCGGCTATATAGGAAAGCCAATCAGGTTCATATTTTACGTCATCACAGTAACTGGAATGACCCCTGTTGACCTGAAAATGAGGTTGTAATTTGCTTTTGTGCAACACTGAAAGGGAAAATATCTTGTTATTCCTTTATAATTGTTTTCTACATTCATTCAGCTTTCCATTGATATAAAGTTGTATTTTCATCGGATAGGGTCTCTAAGGTTCAAACATGTTTCGGTACATTTAAGTACATGTAATTGGGCCATGAGTAATTAGGCATGTATGTGCAAACTGCAAAGTAAGAAGAGCCCTCTCTGGATGTTCTCTTGCTGCACCACTAGTTTCACAATATACAAACTGAACCAAATATTCAAACTGGCAATACGTCCCATATTTTCCAGCTTCAATGTCTATTTAATCTTAGTCTCGCTTTATATCATGAGCAGACATCTTGCAGACTTCAATCTATTTCAGCGTTGCATGAATCAAAGCTGCAACAGGGGGGTGTTTCACAAAGATTCTAAGTCCAACTTAACTCTAAGTTGGACTTTATGGAGCGCCATTTGTAGCCTTATAATGAAATATATTCAAAAGCAAAAATTCAAGTATTTTAGACTTTTAAAATTCCACATCAAGAACATGAAATCTCCTTGATAATAGAAAATATGAATGATTTGAATCAACATTTTATGCCTTTTAAAATAACTTTTTCAAAATATTTTCAAAGATGCTAACGGCTTTCCATAAAAGTCCAACTTCGAGATACACGTAAGTTCAACTTAGGATCTTTGTGAAACACCCCCCAGATGTATTTCTTACAAACACCTAGATGTGTGCATCCCTTTATGTCTAAGTTACCAGCAAGTATGAGATGTATCAACGGTATGGGCCTGGGAGAAAATGAAACATAATCCACATTGTTAAGATCATTGTACCTCACCAGCATGACATCCTATCTGTGGTATATGCAATTGCCAAAGAACTCAATGACAATGCGACACTGTCCTTCATCGAACGGTTCATCTACACACGTATATCCCTTTATAATATGTTGATTGGCAGAAATATTAAAGCTCATCTGTACAGGAGAGATTAGAGCACCCTGCAAGGTCACTGGACAGGTGGTTATCTCATCAACTCAGCTCTCAAATAACATAAGAAAAAGATGATCATTCTGATTAGACATTGTTTGTTGTATAGAGGGTGCAAGTAGCTATAGGTAGTGCAGTGGGCCTTTAAATGAATTGACAGTACGAGCATGGGACAAAATAAATAATCGGTAGGGTCAAGTCTTACGAGGCATTCTCAAGATCGCTGTACCGCACGAGCATGACATCCCAACTGCGGTACGGGCAGTAGCAAAAGAACTTGAGGACGTTGCGACAGTATCCCTCGTCAAACGGGTTCACTGACTCGTCCAGGTTCCGAAGATACGTGATACGATGCCGCGACATGAATTCCCACGTGGTTTGGTTTGTGAAGAGCATAAAGGTGTGACAGCAGAGAAGCGAGATGACGGCCGCCGCCCCGACGCTGAGCACCAACATGCAGATCAGATAGAGGGCGTTGGAGCGTAACCAGTCCTGGATGGTTGGATGCCAGTGGAACCCACCCCTGAAAGAGAAACCAGATGATATTGGAGGTAAGGAGCATGCTATTAAAATGCAATAGGCAAATCATCTGTATGTACGGCATGAGCAGGGCTCTACACTGTCAAACTTTAGTTATTAATTTTTTTTTTTTTTTTTTTTTTTTGGGGGGCCAATCCAGGAAAAAGGTTAAGAAAATGGGGCCCGGGGGGGGGGGGGGGGGGGGGGGGGGGGGGGCATTTCACAAAACTTGTCATCAGTGACAAAGGACAGTTTTTGTTATAAGCTACTGAAATCCTTGCTTCTGACTGGTTATCAGCAGATTTGTCACTGATTTTAGTCATCCGTCATTGAAAAAAGGCTTTGTGGAACGGGTCCCAGCTTGATCTCTTCATGAAACAATTGATTACATTTAGAAGTTATTGTGAACTTGGAGGACCATCTGGCCTAGGGTTATGGTGGATGTTGATCAGGAAGACATACAAAATTATTTACATAACATTGAAAACTAGATGGAATTTTGACTGCGCGCAGTCAAAAATGATGCCTCCGCCATAGAGCAATTTAAACAAGTTTGGAGTTTAAATCTCCAGTGGTTCTTGAGATATCATGATAACAATCTCAATGTATGGAATTTCATAAGTTGACCTCTGTGACCCTTGACCTTTGACCTACGTGCTCCAAAATCTAATCAGATTGTCTTCCTATGGTGATACACACTATCATTAAGTTTGAAGTTTAAATCTCCAGTGGTTCTTGAGATATTATGATATGGTGATACATACTATCATTAAGTTTGAAGTGAAAATTCTCCATGGGTTCTTGAGATATCGCGATAACGATCTCAATGTATGGAATTTCATAAGTTGACCTCTGTGACCCTTGACCTTTGACCTACGTGCTCCAAAATCTAATCAGATTGTCTTCCTATGGTGATACACACTATCATTAAGTTTGAAGTTTAAATCTCCAGTGGTTCTTGAGATATTATGATAACAATCTCAGTGTATGGAATTTCCTAAGTTGACCTCTGTGACCCTTGACCTTTGACCTACGTGCTCCAAAATCTAATCAGATCGTCTTCCTATGGTGATACATACTATTCTTAAGTTTGAAGTTTTTACATCTCCAGTGGTTCTTGAGATATCATGATAACAATCTCAATGTATGGAATTTCATAAGTTGACCTCTATGACCCTTGACCTTTGACCTACGTGCTCCAAAATGTAATCAGATTGTTTTCCTATAGTGATACACACTATCACTAAGTTTGAAGTTTAAATCTCCAGTGGTTCTGGAGATATCATGATAACAATCTCAATGTATGGAATTTCATAAGTTGACCTCTGTGACCCTTGACCTTTGACATACGTGCTCCAAAATCTAATCAGATCGCCTTCCTATGGTGATACATTCTATCCTTAAGTTTGAAGTTTAAATCTCAAATGGTTCTTGAGATATCGCGCTAACAAACTCAATACAAGGAATTTCATAAGTTGACCTCTGTGACCTGTGACCTTTGACCTACGTACTCCAAAATCTAATCCGATTGTCTTCCTATGGTGATAAATACTATTCCCGAGTCTTAAGTTTAAATCTTAAATGGTTCTTGAGATATTGTGATAACGGTCAAACGGGACGGACGTACGGACGGACAACCCGAAAACATGATGCCTCCGGCACCACCTTCGGTGGCGGAGGCATAACAACTATTAATGTTCTGTTAACTAGATTTCAAAATTTTCATGTTCATGAGGGCTACTTTTGAATCACATCACTCTTTTTAGAGGTTTCACACATAATATAATCAAGAATAAAATCTTTTCAGCAAGCAGGTTATCATGGGATATAGTGGACATGGGTAGTTCTTACTCTCAACAAACGCATCATACAAAGTGCTTTTCATGGCTCAGAGGATGAGTGTTGCTCGACAGTGGAGGAAAAAAACAAGATGGATGTTCGACTACATGCAGTCGAAATGATGCTTCCACCATAGAGCAATTTTACAAACCAAAGCCCCATGACATTTGACCCCCTAATCTCATCAGTTCATTGACTCTGCAAGATACATGCATGACCCAAGTTTGGCGGTAATCCATCAATCGTTTTTTTAAATAACGAGATCACGAGAGCGGGCGGACAACCAAAAACATGATGCCTCCGGCTACTTTGTAGCCGTGGCATAAAAACCTCAAAATCTATGATTCCAGATTTCAGATTTATAGCTTTTAAGTGAGCCTTTTATGCTCTGAAAACACACAAACAATCATACCAACAATTAAAACCAGCCTACCATGTAATTCTAATAGCCCAGATGATGAGTGTTGCTTGACAAAGGAGAAAGAACCAGAAGAATCTATGATTGCGTTCCCCTACACAGTTCTCTAGCCACGGGCAGTGGTGATCGAACCGTCGGACGCACCTCCCGCAGTCCTCACAGTGTTTCGTCCTCACTGGTTGCTATTTGGAAACAAACAAAAGTACATAAAGTACCACAGTACATTGATGCCTACCTTTATGATGTGCATTATGATACATTACCCTTATCCCTATATAGCCGGGGGAGGGGGGCTTTAGAAGCTCCCCCCCCCCCTCCCCCTCCTCCTCTACATTTTTTGTGATGATTTTTTAATGCAAAAGAATCTTGCGCTGAAATTTTAGGGCTTTTTCTTTTGAGTCTTGCTCATCTTTCAAAATAATTTTTTGAAAAATCGGACCTACCATTTCAAAGTCACGTGACCTTTTGTCTTTCATGATTTTCATGATTTGTGTACAAAACATATGGAAATATCATTTTTCCAAAAAAGAGATAAAACATTGGTTATTTTGTCTTGTTTATAGTTTAGGTGTTTGTTTTGAGGGTCAAAATAGTTGAAAAATAATTAGAAATTAAATAAAAACAACAAAAACAATAAAAACATAAGTAATAACCTGGCTCCTCCATTTTTTGTTGAATTTTATGACCTTAAAGGGAAAGTTGAGTTCTGTTGCAGAGGGCGCTACACAAAATAATTTTTTTGTGAGCTAATGAAAAACTGAGTGTCAAATTTGAAAGAACATAATATTTAAATGACAAAATCATCTTTGTTTGATCAAAATCGGTTCAGAGACGGCTGAAATATAACAATTTCTATTACTTGTGTACCACCACAAATATTAGATATTTTGAAAAATTTGAAAAAACCGTTGAAAAAAACCGAAATAACGCCTTTTACGTTGTATTTCAGCCAAAGTCGATTTTGGCTTTTTTGTTGGCCTTTGCTTATATTACGCACAACCAGCCGGCCCATGTATTGTTATTTTTAATTAAATAATTAAATAACGGTCACCGTTTTTTTGTTGAAAGTGGAGCTGAATTGGTATGCTTGTATTGGCTAAATTTCACATATTTTGGGGTCTAAAATTACCTTCATAACAATTTTAAGTTCTAAAAGGGTACTAGGAATGTCATAGATAAGAATAAGATCAATAACCATGCACTTTGAAAGCATTTGCGTTCTGAAAAGAGAACTCAACTATCCCTTTAATTGCATGAATTACCATAAATATGCAAACGAGTGAATTTTTCAACAAAAAATAAAATTTATCATTATACTTGACATGCATGCAAATTTTCGCGGCAATCAAGATCTTAGAAGGGGCGGGGGGGGGGGGTTTAGAAGCAGAAATTAATGATATTTTGTACGCAACAAAAGTTTATTTTAGTTACCAATCTCTCCATTGACTTACATGTACATTTCAGGGCTTTTGCTACATTTTTTTGAGGGATTGCCCACCAAAGGCAACTTGGACAACTAGTATAGGTTGCCTTGTGCAACAGGGTTTTAGGTGGCCATTGGCACCCAAGTGAATGTTGATTTTGAATCCTGAATACAAAATTGAAAAACCTATTATTTACCTTGATGTTACAGTAGCTACACTTCCTCTGTGCTTGGTCCTTTTTCTTTTTCTCTTTCACCATTTTCTGTGTCTCCGCGTCGTTATCTTCAGCTCCGGAATCCTCTGCTGTTTCTTCATCACTAGAATCTACATGGCTCCATCCATTCTAGGGATGTAACAAGAACATACATGGTCAACATGATCTCATCCATTGAGTCATGCCACATGTGTGATAACCTTGTAATACCATTGGGCCATTGGCAGATCATGGCCTAGGCATCAAAGTATAACAAACTTTTGGCCTTAAAGATACTATGTCCCTTTTGCAGCCAACATCAAATTCTGTAGAACTTTGCAGGAATTATGAATATCATGTATGTCCTATCTGTGAAATTTAAACATTAGCTCTCAATTAACATATGAAAATGGGATCACAGAGGACCAATGGTCACCGATTAGGCATTGTTTTCTATATATAGAGGGATCAAGTAGCTACAAGTAGTACAGTGGGGCTTTAAAGAGTTGTTTAATGGTACATGTATCTTGAAACTCACCCTTTCTTCATCTAATGTCACATAGCCTGGGTTCATGAAGCTGGCAATGAAGTAGAGTACACTCGTTGCCAGAAGCAAACTAGTGAACGCTATCTCATACACAATGTTCTTCTCAAAGAATGCATGCCGTAGCTCTGCAAGAAATATCATAGAAATTATCACATAACGTTATTAGTAATTTTTTAAATTTCTTTTGTTTCAGTGTTCAGTATTATGTGAATCCTCATCTTACAAAGTATGAGTCGAAAAACATGCTAAATTTAAACAAACAACATAATAGTTACAATACCAAGCCATAAGGTGATTCGCAGCAAAACTGATACCGTAATCTTGACTATCACTGAAAATCCTACTTTGACTCTCAGAACCTTTTGTAAGCAAATGGAGAGGTGGCAAATTCACAGCAACATATTTTTGCATAAATTTTTATGAATGATGAGTAAAATGAAAGACTACAAAGTAAATAAGATAATAGCATGGACCCTACCAGCAGTAGCCTACATCTATAAGGACAATGGCAGAGGGGCTAATATCCAGGCACGTAGCCACAGGGGCAAGATCAGTTGAACTTTTTTAGACCCCTCCCCAGGACGTCGATCAATAACTTGTATGTGCCCCCCCCCCCCCAAACATCAAACTCTGGCTACGGGCCTGCTCATGAGAATGAATGACATTCCTTTGTCCTACCTAGCAACAGTTAATGTATGCAAAACTGCATTCTGACTATTGAAATACAATTATTTGTAACAGGGTGAATGAAAATAATTTGTAACATGCCACTTAATAAACATTTATGGACTAAATTTGATTACACTATGAAAATGGTCTATTGAATTGAATAGTATTTCTAGGGGTTTATTTTGTCCTTTCTACTGTGTATGACCATTCGTTACCTGTCTCATTGAAGAGTAGCACGCAGAAGATGCCAACAGTGAGGGCAGTGTGAAAGAACCGGATGAAGATACCAGAGAGTAGTCTGGACAGCTGTTTCTTACTCCTCCCCATCTCTCTCTCTCTCTCTCCTCAGGAGATGGTGCACATTAAACCTCTCCGGCCTTCGTCTGTGCGTTTCCAGACGCAGTTCAGAATCGCTTCTACATGGATCTGGCTTTGCTCAAAAGGAGAGTAACATGTCCTGTTGATGTTGTGATGATTTATTTAGCCTTCCAAGATGATCATCAGACACTGTAAATCAAAGATTGGAGAAAGAAAATGCATCATACGACAAGCCAGTGCTATAGTCAGAGACTACATGTAAAATTCTCTTGAGAAATACATCATTACAACATGCTTTTACTAAACGGTCAGGTCAGTTAAAGAGGGAGTCCACCCTGATCATCAGGTGTAATTAAAAGGAGAAAAATGAGAGAAACAAATTTTCCATTAGGATACTATTATTAGCCTCGATTATGAAGGAAAAACTGTGATAACGTCATTATGAACTCGTAGCTCGTGCACACTTTTTCCTTAATAATCATTTCGCCTTGCGCGTAGACTAGAAGGGATGAGATTTAGATGACGCCATGAACAGCGAGAGTTTAAAATACAGCTGCAAGATTTTTGATGTGGAAGTCTATTTTGACCCATAATTTCCTGAAAAGGGACCATTAAACGCATTATTTTTAGTCAAGTTGGTAAGTGGAACCGATATATAATAGCCTAGATCTAGGCCTAATTTTCAAAATTAAATGCATCGGATATGCATCCAGTAAAATATAGTATTTGAGCACAAGTTTAGTGGTCAGATCCACTCCACCGAATCTGCACAGGAGCGCCTATGGTCAGCTTCTGTCTCTAAAGAGAGGAGCCGACCCTACCCAAATCAGAGGCTAACGAACGAAAGAAACATAAATTTTTGGTCGAGTTACAGTAGGCCTAGACTCACGATTTGAATTTTCAAAATATTCTTTCTAACATCGGTAAGTTGAAAAGATTGTATTTTACTGTAGGTGTCATCAATTGTCACTAAAGTACCGATTTTGAGTGAACTCAGTTGAGTTTTGTACAGAGATTGGAGACCTCATGGAGAGATACATTCCAACAAAGGTATCTGGAAAGAAAAGAACCAGTCCCTGGATCACAAACACCATAAAGAGAAGAAATAGGAGAAAGCAGAGACTGTACAATAAACCTAAAGCTTCAAAAACACCAGATGATTGGCTTAAGTACAAGAATTATCAGAAAGAATTAAGATCTCAACTCCGTCATAACTACTGGACTTATCAAAACAAGATGTTCTCTCTTGATGACAAGAACAACAAAGCATTTTGGAAGTTCATCAAATCCAGAAAAACAAGAGTCATCTGGAATTGGATCCCTCAAGTGTGGTGAAAAGCTTGTATCAGAGAGTAAAGGGAAAGCAACTGCACTGAACGACCAATTCCAATCAGTTTTCACACTGGAGGATAACTTGAACATTCCAGATCTTGGACAACCTGTGTTTCCTTCAATGGATCGCATTGAAATCTCTGTGGAAGGCATGGTCAAGCTACTGAAAGCTATAAAAGTTAGCAAAGCCACAGGACCAGATGGCATACCAGGAAGGATCTTGAAGTTCTTTGCTGAAGACATTGCACCGATTCTGACCTTTATCTTTCAACAATCTCTATATACAGGAACAGTACCATCTGACTGGCATCTTGCAAACATCTCACCAATCTTCATGAAAGGAGAAAGGAGCAAGGCTTCCAACTACCGCCCTGTATCAATCACGTCCATCTGCAGTAAACTGCTTGAACATGTCATTTTCAGCAATATCATGGATCACTATGAGGAAAATAATATTCTCAATGATGTTCAGCATGGCTTTCATCCTGGCCATTCATGTGAGACCCAGCTGATCATTACATGTACATCTTAAAATATTGCACACTCTCTAGACCAGAAACTAGAGCAAGTTGATGCAGTTGCATTAGACTTCTCCAAAGCCAGCATTTACGGACTCTAACAGCGCTAGGGCCATCGACAAGAGGCTAGATTCAACACAACATGGTAGCCATCAATGCACACCATTACACAGCACCCATGATTTTCAAATTTCAAATTTATTCATGTTTCCAACAAAACATTACAAATCAATTATAAGCATTTAAAACAAATTTAAGAAATAAATGATATTGCAAACAACACTCGACAGTATCACCCACAGAAGTTGCTGGCTATTCCCCACCCCCACCCCCACCCGCACCCAACTCTACCGGAACTCTGCATTTTTCCCTCGGACAGTGACTGCGTGGAATGGACTTTCGAAGATCACCCTTGACGCTACTTCACTGGAGGGCTTCAAGGGAGCGCTTCCACCCAGCATCTAGACTAAGAACTAGATTTTTAGATTTTTAGGTTTTACTAGCACAAAATGCACGGCAACAGGCATGCATGATGCACTGCTAATCAGTAGGGGCACTGGTCCGAGAATGAGGATCGTCCTCATAAAAGCAGACAAAATGTGTCCTCAAAAATAAGGGTTGTCTGCATTTTCGAGGACGTTTTTTTTCATCGGTGCTCTGGGGGTTTCATGTTACAGAACCGCCCGCTGGCGATACCAAAAATGGATTCCCCAGGGGAAAATAACCCTAGTTCACCGTCTACTTTTAAGGGTTGTCCGTCTTCCCAAGGATTTAGAATCTAGAGTCTACTGCTCATAATGTAAAGGTCTCTGTACAAAGTCAATGTAAAATGCATCAAGAAAATCATTGCAGAATCCGTTTTTTGCATCGCCAATGCCCCGATCAATAATAGAAGTCTATGAAACGTCTGCGAAAATGCAGACGCATCGGTCCATGTTTATTCTCGGACCAGCGCCCCTAGACCTACTGCTAATGAGCATCTAAGTTGATTCCTCAGCACTACATCCTAACTTATGGATCCTGCTGAGTATCGTCATAGAAGTAGAAGTAGAAGTAGAAGGGACGTTTGAAATTTTTAGAATTAATAGAACACACAGCCAGTAATGCAGCTATGCTATGCGTGGCCCAACCCATCCCACTCACGATCCCTCGGGCCGTGGACCTCCGCTAGCCGCTCAAGCTTCACGGGCTCCTCGCCCGCTACAGCTGCCCATAACATGATACCGCCCACCTCACTGCAGTGCAGCGCAGTGTCGCGATGCGATGCGATGACATACAAAATAGTTTATGCTACAAAATGAGACGGAATTTCATAATATGGGCATAATATATTTCAAGTCCAACTACATCAAATTACACAAAACCACATATTCAGGTTTCTATCAAATTTTTAATTTTTAAACAATCAAAACAACTTACATATTTGTCTTTTTTTCAACCTTTTTTTGCGTGGATTTGCGTTGTATACATCGTCGAAGCAAAAACAATGTGCGAAATATTAGTGTATTGCATAGCTAGTTGGTACGGCACCGTATACTCGAAATGCTAAAGTTATAGTGCTAATATGGTATAATCGAAACTCTATAATTAGGGCTCGGTACAGGCCGGGCACTGGATTGACGGTTTTACTTTTATTTGGTCTCATTATTTTATGTTTATTTGGCTCTCGACCAATTTACAGAGAAAGGAGGCTTCGGAACTTTTGAAAACAATTGTCGCAAAAAATTCCTCGTATTTAGTTTCGAAGTCGTTCCATTCCGTACGTTGATATTAATCCCCTGGCATGATTCAGCTGGCTGTTTCTGAATACGCCAAAGAGTATAGTCGTTTAAATCTATCTGTTTTTTGTTAAAGTGACTCGGCATTGCTTGCAGATTGATGAAAAAATGCATAATTTTGGTATGATGTTACTTCATTATATTCCTTCTACTGCTCCCAGTGGCGTAATGAGCAAAAACGTTTGGGGGAGCTGACAAAAAAAAATCCGCAGCACCCCACTCTAACATGCAGGCCCCGCTGAACGTTTCGCAAAGTGGGGTCTAGGGGTGGAGCCCCCGAAGCTCAAGGGATATAGGCATCAGTGGCGGATCCAGGAATTTCTTACGGGGGGGGGGCACAAAATGGCATGGGGTTAAATATATTTAAAACGATGAAGCGACAGAACGAGGCTTTAGCGGCGAGGGAGCGGAGCGACCAAGCGTGGGTGGGTCTGGGAGGGGGCTCTGGCCCCTCCCAGAATAAGAAGCATTTGCAATTTTAGAACCAAATTAGTCGTATTTTCAGGCACTTCCTGGAGTAATATGATGTAAAAATAATTGCCTTCTCCTATCCCTTCCAAGAGTATACTCTTATTTCTACGGCGTCAAAAATAACTCTGAAAGTGTCAAATTTGACTCGGATTTGGCGCCAGCTGGGAGTCAACTCCATCCGAGTCAACACGACTCCGATTTCCGAGTCAAATATCTTACTCGGATTCCGAGTCACGTTCCGAGTCATTTCTTGGCGTCAATTGAACTCGGAAAGTGTCAAATTTGAATAGGAAATGGCGTCAGTTCGGAGCCATCTATTCTGTGAAATAACACGGATTTCCGAATCAGGATATTTAATTTTGGTTCTGATATGGTGTCCTTTCCCATATTTAAAAGTAACCCATGTTGATGTTGTAGTGACTCTGATTTTGTGTTATTTGCCATCAAGGCACATAATTCGAATCACCCATAAACTCACTAATCAGTCATTCTCAAAAACAAAAACAAAAAATATCCGTAGCACAGTGTGTACAGTGAGCACATATCTTTGAAATAACGCAGACATTTCATGTCCCGTTTGAAATATTGCATCTATTGCAATTAGATCTGTTTCTGAAAATGTGACAAACTATAGTAATGTTATCAACTTTCAATTTTCGACATTTCTTAAGTGGTACATTTTCTGAGAATGACTAATACACTCTAAAAGCGACGGAACCAGGATTGCAAGAGGAGGCAATGGACAATGCAATTGGTTTGGAGCACATTAAGTATCAATATTTCTTATTAATTGCCCCCTTCCCCACCCCCTGGTTGCGTCACCTTTCTCCAGATTCATAAAACATATTTTGAACTTTAAAAACGAAATGAATATTGCACGGATACATCCTGCATATTTCAATGAAGTATAACAACTTGAATTTATTTACAAAATTAGTGTAAGTGTGTCTGCAATGCATTCACGATGTGCATGCACAAGTACAAATTTAACATGGATTACATTGGAGTAGGAACATTTACATCTATATTTACATGCAATACCACATATTATTGATTGCATATAGGCAATAAATAAATTGAAAATTTCAAAATATATAGGAGACCCCATACATGTCATACTTTGTATACAATTTGGATTACATTGGAGTAGGAACATTAACATCTATATTTTCATGCAATACCACATATTATTGATTGCATATAGGCAATAAATAAATTGAAAATTTCAAAATATATAGGAGCCCCCATACATGTCATACTTTGTATGTAATTTGGATTACATTGGAGTAGGAACATTAACATCTATATTTTCATGCAATACCACATATTATTGATTGCATATAGGCAATAAATAAATTGAAAATTTCAAAATATATAGGAGCCCCCATACATGTCATACTTTGTATATAATTTGGATTACATTGGAGTAGGAACATTTACATCTATATTTACATGCAATACCACATATTATTGATTGCATATAGGCAATAAATAAATTGAACATTTCAAAATATATAGGAGACCCCATACATGTCATACTTTGTATGTAATTTGGATTACATTGGAGTAGGAACATTTACATCTATACATGTGATGTAAATATTGATTGCATATCGGCAATAAATAAATGGAAAATTTCAAAATGTTTCGGAGACCCCATACATATCATACTTTGTATGTAATTTGGATTACATTGGAGTAGGATCAAATTTAGGATCTCATATTTCAGCCAAGAGAATGTCAAACTCCCTATATAACCACCCTAAATAAATAAAAATAATTGTTACTCCGATATGTATTGATATGGTTGATAATACGCTGAGCATTAACATGAAAATTAGTAAAATTGCATTTTCATTATGGACAATTGTGAGGCGATGACATCGACATTAACTTGCCTATTTTATTGTTCATTGGTTAAAGGTAATATAAAGTTTTGGTATGGGGTCATGAATTTGGTTCAAATGAACATATTGGAAGCATATGCGATCCTACAATATTCAGTGATCGTTGTCCCGGTTGAAATTGAATCTAAATTTATGAAATTGTAAATAATAAACTCTTCATGTTGTATACATGTAGCTCCCTCTCAAGGTAAAGATTATAATTAAGCCATAAAACAATGTTTCTTGACTAAAATCGACCAAATGGCTATTTACGTTTGAAAATTATATATCACAACTACATATTCTGAGATTTTCATGGTCGCAGCTACAATTGTATGGCCGTAAGCGCTATTTGAAATATTATCATAATTTACCGGGAGCACCAGTAAATTTTGATATTCAATTTTACTTGAAAGCAAAAGTGTTTTAAGGGTTAAATTTTCTAGTGCTTATAATACACCCAAATGGGCATCCAAAGATATCAAAATTGTAAAGAATCACTATCCAGCCAATTTTCTAAATTTCCCAAGACTTTGTATTAGTGCAGGGCTCTGATCAAGGGCACAAAAGTGTTACATATGAGGTGAATTTTAAAAGTCAATTATAGACTGTGGCAACATTATTTTTGTAATCTGCAAACATTATGCAACATATAGCTAAAAAATCAGACCTTAACAAATTGCCGTTAAGTGGCAATCAGTAGCTAAATATCACATCATCAAAAATGTTACGTACATAACTCGGTGTCCACTTCATGCTGATATTTCCCTTATAATTTTACTTTTTCTGACATATTACATTAGATGTTAAAACATACTGTAAACAAAACTTAAAACCATTGCCATATCAACTTTTTTTCAATTTAGTTATTAGAATATGGCCAAAACAAAAATGTGGACACCAAGTTATGTACAGTACATCTTATTCTCTACATGCTTTCTCTTTGCCTCATTGTCAGATAAGGTTTTGCATTAGTCTGATAAGGACTTCAATTGAAGGAATGATGTGTTTCCTGAATGAAACATAATTGGTAATGTGTAAATAGTTTGTAAACTACTATAACAGGACTGAAATGTAAGATTTCTGTACTTAATCGTACATAACTGTGGACACCAAAAGTAAGTAGTTTTACATTCAAATAATAACTTCTTGTTCCTTAAATTCAATAAATGTTTGTTTAAATGAAAATGCAGAAGGATGCATTTCATGCTGTATGGAATAAATAAATTTATTTATGATAATTATTTCAAATTTTTGATTGGTAGTAACGTGCATAACTCGGTGTCTTTTCATAATGGTGTCTTAGTTATGTACATGACATGAAAAAGTTCAAACTGCAATATTTTGTAATATTCTTCTCACCAAATCAGATGTGTGTATGTCTTATACATGTACATTTTTTACTACCTTACCATGACAAATAACTAAATATAGGTGGTCTTATTGGAAAAACAAAACATGGAATACGTACATAACTGTCACGTACATAACTCGATGTCCACATTCATTGTTGATTAAATAACACATACAAGTTAAAATGCGGAATCCAATGTTATCAGTGCTCTTCATTCACCTATATACACCATTACATTGTCATTTTGAAAGTATACAATATGTTTTTGTATATATTCTGGTGCACTGGTATGTACATAACTGCAGGACACCAAACATTTTCCATTTACAGACATCTAAATATTTTTAAAACCATGACCCAGAATGAGAAGATCTGATTGGAAATCAAAGATAAAGTGAAACTAAACATTATAACATTGCATGCTTGTAAATAAATCAATTATTTATACACCATTCTTCAGTTAGTAAGGTTTGAAATTTGCAGGACACCAAAGTTATGTACATATCAAAAACATTGTATCACATGTAAATAGAATAAGAAAGTAAAATACTAGGAATTAACTCAACAGAAATTTTAATTATTACATAGATTCTACATCAAGATGAAAAAAAATCATAAGTTTTGCATCCCATTAGTAAAAATCTGGTAACCAATTAGTGCATGTTTTGAATGTAACATTAAAAGTGCTGAAAATAGGCCTTTTTTCATCATAAAATTGCTCTAAAATCTTTAATTTGAACTCAATGAAGCTGAAACCTTGTTTTGAGCTTTCCCAAATGATACTTTGTAATATAAAAATGCTAATTTGTTTCTGGGTCTCATGGTTTTGGATAATTGAACAATTTCCCAGTGTTCAATCTAAGTGTACCCTTGATCTGAGCCTTGCACATTACCTAAGAAAGGTTTGAGGAAAAAATGTGAATTTTCAAAATGTCAGAACTACTATTTTGTATCCGATTTTCTTCATTTTTGCACTGTTCTTAGGGGAAATTTCCTACACTTTCTTTTGAAATTATGCAATCCTGAACTTGAATAATAACGCAGTAGGCTAAAATGAATAGGATCCATGAAATTAATACAGATACAATTTGCTGTAATTAGTCTTCCAGGTAATTATTCATACATCTCAGTAATAAAGTAATAATAATATGCATACCCTTGCATCATTCGGCAGTGTAAAACAATGCATCCCCCAAGGCTCTATCTTTAAGCCCCTCTGCACTAGTTTGGCCAGGAGGGATTAGACCTCCCAGCATGGTCACTGACAGGTGGTTATCTCATCAACTCAGCTCTCAATTAACATAAGAAAAAGAGGATCATGGGGACCAACATGCACCGCTTAGGCATTGTTTTCTATATAGAGGGAGCAAGTAGCTACAAGTAGTGCAGTGGGGCTTGCCAAGATGATTAAACTGATATAATCCACCCATCCTCTTGAGAGTTTGACATGATGTTGAATTGTACCTTTATTAAGGTGTGATATTTTAAGAAAATAAATGGCTTTCAGATGTAAATATCAATTAAATAGGAGAGGAATATACATATCTTGCAAAATTCATGCATTTACAAACGTAATTTCTACATCCTTTAAAACTGTTTTTACTGATTTGTGTTCCACTCTTGAAAAAAAAATGCATTTTGCGTCATCCCCAAAACTTGGCGGGGATAATGACGTTGTACCTAGTGGCCGTAATTTTGAAGTTCACGAGTGCCGTAGAGTTTTGTGCAAAAAATTGGTACTTTATTTTTGTTATTTTAGACTACTTTCACCAAGTTTTGTAAAATTGACTTTACATATATAATCACCCGACTGTCCTGAATTTCAGGCTTTTAATATGTGTACAAAGCAATAGGGTAATTATGTGGGTGCTAAAGTATGACGCCACAGATTTCCGTTCACAAAAACAATGTAATTCCATGGCATTAAGTACATGCTCGTCGAGTCAGTTTGATGTCGTTTCCTTCACAAAATATGAGGATCTGTCTGCCTAAAATACTGGCACTAACCCCTCGCATATAATCAGTTCACATCGCGTCAAAAACAGTGAAATAAGTACTCCAATGACATGACCCAGAAGTACGCAATTTCATGGGCATGCGCAAAATGTAACTGAACTTCCTTTATTTTATTGAAATACTTTCATAGTCCTTTAAAGGAACTGTAGCCCTTTTGCATTAATGCTCAGATGTATTCATATTTGATGTAAACATAGCAAATTAATGATAATAAAGTTATATGTATGAAATCCCACGGTCATACGAATCATAGTTTTCGAGATACAAGCAAAATCCCCCCCCCCCCCCTTATAACACCTGTCTGTATGTGAGAATAAACACCCTGCTGAACATTTATTATTATTTTTGCTCTAAAAGTCAAGAAAAGGGGACCAGAATTGCATATAATTTTCAGGATAGCTCTAAAATAACATTTCCTTTCCTGTCAAAGTGATATTTCACATAGTTAAAAGTATGATTTACAAAAGGGCTACAGTCCCCAGTTAATCCTAAACCTTTCAATGCTCACTATTTAATAGAAAAGCTCGCATTGTCCTGCACGCAGCTGATGGAGGCTTCCCTGTATCAATCTTGTAGACTGTCTCAACCAGGAATTGAAATACATGAGACAGCTCCCATGGAAAGTCACACCAAAGGACGTACGTTGCCTTTACCACCATGTCAACTGCGTGCAAGACAGATTTACACTGTGCAGCCTGTCTTTCAAACACAACGAAGGACTGCTCACATGTGGCCCCACTACCAAACATAAGGGCAAATGGCTGATTCTGCTGTAGAATTTCTAGGTAGTGTGGAATGTTGGTGCCCACCTTTACAAAAGAAAAACAAAGCAAAGAAACATTCACATTAATTTAATAGCAGCTGCATTATATGCAATCAATTGTCTGTTTCAAATGGTATGCCTTAATTAATTATGATCCCACAAAAAAATATCCTCATTACATGTACCTCTGACGAGTCTTCCTCCCTGTTGCTACCTCCAATGAGTAATAGATTAATTCAGTAAGTCAGAATTGCAATCATTCCTGCTTTAGAAATTCCAAGGTAACGGTGATGCACAATTCAAGGATGCCAGTTAGAATTGATCAGAGGGCCTGATAATCACCTAGAATGAGCTATTTTATACACAAACAAACATAAACTATGGTTTGAAAATAAATCGCCAGGGCCTGAAAACTGGCATCCCTGACAATTAGAAATACTTGGATTTATTAAATATTAAAAAAAAATAAAAAAAAAATAACAAAATGAAGTTGGCAATGCAACAGTTACACCAGGCCAACGTATATAATCAATGCATATCTTTCTGCCAGAATGATTTTCAAAAAACTTTGGCAAAGGTTAAGAGTCAAAAATATATTTTCAGAATCGATGTTCTTAATAATTCTTCATAACATGATAGCCATTCACTGACAGAATTGATAGAATAGAGCATAGGATACCAAGTAGAATTGGCTCAATTGTGACAATCTATGAGTGTATACATGTATGAAAAGACCACTCCTTCTAAGCCAAAGTTTGAATTTGATATATTCAATATTCATGAAATGTATACCAAATGAAAGATTCATAGTTGGCTGAGGGCAATCTCAATCCACAAAGACAAGGCACCAAAAGCAGTACTGGATAGTAGTTAATTAATGTGTCTGGGTGAAAACCCATTTGCGTCAACATCAACCATGCTTTCCCTGATTTGGATTCACTGCACAATGAGCAAGAAAGCCTTTTGTAATATGATAATTGAGTTGTTCCAAATCAGTTTCAGCATGTAATCATATGACTTGGCGCGAATGGGTTTTGACTCTTTTCAAACAATGGCTGGTGTGCGCTCAACTTAACAGCAAAATTGAAGAAAAAAATTACCAAACAACATAGGAGTCAATGCTTTATCCATACATTCTAAAAAAACACTATGTTCAGAGATGCCAACCTCTTGACACCAAAAAACAGACTGAGTATCCTAAAAAATCAGATTTAGGAGAGAAAAATCAGATTTTCACGAAAACTTGACATTACCAATGGCCGGTTGGCCCCAGGCCAGTAAAATTTCAGAAAAATGTGATACTGGTAGTACGTACAGTCAAGTAAAATGTTTGCTCTTTCATTAAAATTTTAAAATAAAAATAAGCAAAGATAAAAACAATTGTACTTAGGTCTACAATAGGCCTACTGGTTTCAAATCAATGAAAGCTCACCTTGCATCATCAAGGACAGCCCGTGTGGTCCTGCCTTTGCCCGTCTTTCTGGTTCCCATTGGCAAAATGAAAGGGAGTGCCAGCAGAGCAGCTGTTGTCACTTCATCATCTATTAAGCAAAATACAAATAATATCTTCATGGACAGCTACAAGACAGGTTAGAGAGAACGATAATGTATAGGCCTAGACTATATCTACTATGGATGGGACAGTGTTAGAGGTGAAAGAGGACTTCAAATACCTATGATCAGGGCTCAAAATAATTTTTTGTCCACGGGGGCTCTTCCAAAATAACGGGGGCTCTTTTAGTACTGACGGGGGCTTTTTTTAAACACAAATTTACATTGAATTGGAGTGATTACATGAGGAATGCCGATAGTCCAATACTAGCCTGCATTAAAACCGTAACAAATACGGCGAAACCGTAACGGTTGGCATCTCTGCTCTTCACACACATACTAAATTCATTGCGACAGCACACGTAGTTGTTTCGCAATAGACTTCTACATATGGCTATGTACGTTAGCGCATGTTTTTAAAGCACGTAGGCCTAGATCTAGATCTAGACTAGACTACAAATTAAAATTACAAGACTCGTTGGCCCGAATTCACAAAGGAGGTTTGTCGACAAACCTTGGTTTTCGTACGTCATATGACGCGTTTTTACACGTTTTTTACAAACCTGGTTTGTAAAGAACAAAAGGAGGTTTGGCGAAACAAAAATTCGGGCCTTTAAATCGATCCGAGACTATTATACTACTAGACTCTAGGCCCTATAGAGTATAGGCCTACCATGGGCCTACTCAGCTCAGTACGTGTTAGGGCTAAGTTCACATCTAGCGTAGACGGCTAACATTGTCAAACAAACGACAAAGTTACTCTTACAGTAGGCCTACGGCAGACAATTAGCCCTTATAGTTATAGTAATAGTTCAACTAGATCATGGGGGTTTAAGGTGTGATACTCACCTAAGAAAGCGTCCTTGAACTCCTCCAGTCCACATTCCTCCAACAAATTGTAAACAAATTTGTCCATTGTACCGCGGTATATATACCGCGTCGATCAGTGCGTGCAGCGCAGCTAGCTAGCTCGCGCCGCGCTCGCTCAGAGAAAAAGTCTAAATTCGATATTCGCGGGCGCGCACAAGATTAGGACGCCGATACGTCATGGGACACGTGACTAGTATTGACTATTTACATTGCGGATATATCAGATACTCGGTGCGGAGTCAATCTGGCGGCACCGTGGGCCGAAGACTCAGAACGGAGGTGGCCCTATCTAACCCAGTTTCGAGTCAGAATCACCCGAAATGGAGTGAAAAAACACTGACTCGGATCTGGAGTCACATTTTTGACTCGGCAGGAATAAGAGTGTAGGGATCTTTTGCAATTTGAGAACCACATTTGGCGCATTAATGTCCACCGGCACTTCCTGGAAAAAAACGAGGCCTTCTGATTGGTTAAAAGTTAGAGAAAAGTGATCTGTCACGTCTTGAGACGTTGTATATGCTTTGATGCTGCACAATTCACAAAGACGGGGATCCGGTACGTCATCAGTAGTACTTGCAAAATGTTTCTTGAGTGTATAAACTGTGTCGTTATCAGGGGCGTCGCTAGATCTTTGTCAGTGGGGGAGTGGAATGACAAATATATTAATGCCAATGTCCAAATGTCTACAAATTTAACCCTATAATCCCGGGGCCAGGAACTAAGTTATTTTTCAGTCTCTCCCCTCCCACGCAAAGCGCGGAAACTTTGACACTTCATTAAATTATTAGAGAAAGAAAACGTACAGTTGTACCATTCTCGACTCTCAATTCTTGTTTGGATCCAGTTCTCCCCCCCCCCCTCCCGCGCAAAGCACGGCAGTTTTGACATTTTAATAAATTATTACTCTTAATCCTTTGACTGAATTTATTTTCGTCCATCCCGCGCAAAGCGAGGCAGCTTTGACGATTCATTAAAATATTACTCCTAATCCTTGTCTGAATTCATTTTGGCCCATCTTGCGCAAAGCGCAGAAGCTTTGACGTTTCAATAAATCATCACGCTTAATCCTTGTCTGAATTCATTTTTGCCCATCCCGTGCGAAGCGAGGAAGCTTCGACGATTCATTAAATTATTACTCTTGATCCTTTGACTGAATTTATTTTCGTCCGTCTCGCGCAAAGCACGGCAGTTTTGACATTTTAATAAATTATTACTCTTAATCCTTTGACTGAATTTATTTTCGTCCATCCCGCGCAAAGCGAGGCAGCTTTGACGATTCATTAAATTATTACTCCTAATCCTTGTCTGAATTCATTTTGGCCCATCTTGCGCAAAGCGCAGAAGCTTTGACGTTTCAATAAATCATCACGCTTAATCCTTGTCTGAATTCATTTTTGCCTATCCCGTGCGAAGCGAGGAAGCTTCGACGATTCATTAAATTATTACTCTTGATCCTTTGACTGAATTTATTTTCGTCCATCTCGCGCAAAGCACGGCAGTTTTGACATTTTAATAAATTATTACTCTTAATCCTTTGACTGAATTTATTTTCGTCCATCCCGCGCAACGCGAGGCATGCTTTGACGATTCAATAAATCATTACTCTTAATCCTTTTTGAATTCATTTTCGTCCATCCCGCGCAATCGCGGAAGCTTTCACGTTTCATTACATTATTAGAGAAAGAATACGATTCGTTGTATCGTGTTCTTGTTTGAATTCAGTTTCCCCCCCTCCCGCGCGAAGCGCGAAAGCTTTGACACTTTATTAAATTATTAGAGAAAGAAGACGATTCATTTTACCGGTTCCGTCTCTTAATCCTTGTCTGATTTCATGTTTGCCCATCTCGCGTGAAGCGCGGAAACTTTGACGTTTCATTAAACTATTACTCTAAATCCTTGTCTGATTTCATTTTCGTCCATCTCGCGCAAAGCGCGGAAGCTTTCACGTTTCATTAAATTATCAGAGAAAGAAGACGATTCGGCGTATCGTGTTCTTGTCTGAATTCAGTTCCACCCTCCCGCGCAAAGCGCGGAAGCTTTGACACTTCATTAAATTATTAGAGAAAGAAGACGATTCATTGTACCGGTTCTGTCTCTTAATCCTTGTCTGAATTCATGTTCGCCCATCTCGCGTGAAGCGGGGAAACTCTGACGTTTCCTTAAACTATTACTCTTAATCCTTGTCTGATTTCATTTTCGTCCATCTCGCGCAAAGCGCGGAAGCTTTCACGTTTCAATAAATTATCAGAGAAAGAAGACGATTCGGCGTATCGTGTTCTTGTCTGAATTCAGTTCCACCCTCCCGCGCAAAGCGCGGAAGCTTTGACACTTCATTAAATTATTAGAGAAAGAAGACGATTCATTGTACCGGTTCTGTCTCTTAATCCTTGTCTGAATTCATGTTCGCCCATCTCGCGTGAAGCGGGGAAACTCTGACGTTTCCTTAAACTATTACTCTTAATCCTTGTCTGATTTCATTTTCGTCCATCTCGCGCAAAGCGCGGAAGCTTTCACGTTTCATTAAATTATCAGAGAAAGAACACGATTCGGTGTATCGTGTTCTTGTCTGAATTCAGTTCCCCCCTCCCGCGCAAAGCGCGGAAGCTTTGACACTTCATTAAATTATAAGAGAAAGAAGACGATTCATTGTACCGGTTCCGACTCTTAATCCTTGTCTGTTTTAATTTTCGCCCATCTCGCGCGAAGCGCGGAAGCTTTAACGTTTCAATAGATTATTACTCTTAATCCTTGTTTGAATTCATATTCGCCTATCCCGCGCGAAGCGCGGAAGCTTTCACGTTTCATTAAATTATCAGAGAAAGAACACGATTCGGTGTATCCGTGTTCTTGTCTGAATTCAGTTCCCCCGCCCCTCCCGCGCAAAGCGCGAAAGCTTTGACACTTCATTAAATTATTAATGAAGGAAGACGATTCATTGTACCGTTCTCGCCTCTTAATCCAAGTCTGAATTCAGTTGCCAACCCCCCCCCCTTCCCGAAGCGCGGAAGCTTTGCCGTTTCATTAAATTATTAAAGAAAGAAGACGATTCGTTGTACCGTTCACTACTCGTAATCTTGTCTGAATTCCCCACTGGGCCCCTTAACGGTACATGTGCAGTGTTACATGATGTAAGTATTGAACGCCCGGCAGTGCTTGTCACAGTTGCTTCTGGAAAGGATTTTTTTTACTAGGGTTACTGTTCGTGGCAACGGCCCTTAGTGACTATAAAAAAAAACATATGCTCTTCTTGGCCATTTGGGAATGTGTCAGTTTGCAACATAAATGGAGAAACGCGCATTTTGTTGAAAATCATGTGATATCACGAACATTTATACACCATTTGTATATGGAATTGAAAATAAGTCATGGTTCAATTTTATTTGGGGGGGGGGCTGGCGCCCCCAAGCCCCCCCCCCCCACCAGTACGCCAGTGACTGTTCCCTCTAACATGCAAAAAAAAAAAAAAAAATTCTCAAACTTCAAAGATATTTATGGTTTTCTTTGAAAGCGTCACTGTGCAATACCCTCGAACTTTAATTCTCCACACCATTTTTGAATTTTCTCAAACGTTTTTACAAATCTTTCAACACTTAAAATAATGAGCCAATTAATTGCTTTGTGTCTTTGTGAGGATTTACATTCACCTGAAATGTAATTAAATTGTAATCGAATTGAATTGAATTGAATTGAATTAGGAATCAATCAGCGAAAGACTTAAACGGCTCAATCTCTATTCGTTACATTACCGGAGGCAGGCGCGTACGCAGGATTTTTTCAAGGGGGGGGGGGGGGGGGTTTTAACATTTATAAATCGGTCCGAAAATTTCGCAACGACTCAGCCAGCCGCTGAATAAGCGGGGGGGTAAGAGGACACTTTTTTTTTTTTTTTTTGGTCTCGAAATTTGGAAATTTGACATTTTGCTCCGTTGGGGGGGGGGGGTAAGGTCACCTTTTTTAGGTCGGCCATGGGAATAATTTTTTTTTTTATTTTTATTTTTTTAAATAATAAAAAAAAAAAAAAAAAAAAAATCCAAAAGGGGGGGGGGGGGGGGGGGGGGGGGGTTTAGGTTTTTTTTAGGGGGGTTTACACACAAAAAATTGACCTGACCGGAGGGTAAGAAGAGACATGATCCAAGTTTTCAAGAAATTTCATGGTATAGATAGACTCGATCCAGATTGTTTTTTTGTGAAATCACAGTACAATACAATACAATTACAATACAATTAAGTCATTTCTATAGCGCTCTTACTGTTGTTTCACAGCGCTTTACATAAAAAGTTATCAAAGAATCTATTGTTGATCATGGTCAAAGAGGACAGTTTTTAGACATTTTCGGAAGACATCCAGCGAAGGTGCTAATCGAATAAAACAGTATCAGAGAACAAGAGGCCATTCATTGAAGTTATTCACTACTCGCTGTCGATTGTCAGGAGTAACTTCAGTTGTAGCAATCGGGTCATCCAGTCTTGGAACATTTTACCAGTGTCTCTAGTAACTGTGCCAGCATTAACTCATTTAGCTTTGATTCTTTTTGGTCAGACAAACACTTTGTTATAATCCACGCATGCACTGCCTTTAATAATGTACCAAGTGATCTGACCGGGAGACCTACAGGATATCCTACACTCCCGTATAGATGATGATGATGACGATGATGAGACCAGTTTTTCCCAATTTGTATCATTAGTGATGGTCGTCACTTTCACTCAAACTTTCAGATTGTCTTTAATTGTACATTTAGCATTGACGTCACTACCTTAGCAGCATTTTCTCCCGTATTTGTTCTCATCTGAACAATATTAGAAAGTCCCTTATATAGGCTTACTTCATTACCCTCTTCTAATTAATGATGAGATTAGTACTTAAACAAGCATGCAGGTATGTTTTTTCACAAGGGCTGGTAGTTCCTTCATAATATTATAACTTAATTTATTTATAATCAAATCGAAAAATCATTAACCAGGCGCGCTTCGTTGTGCTGGGGTGTGGGGGCATTAGCGAATCCAGGGTGCCCGGGGACCCGCCCCCCCTCCCTGGCAAAAGAAAGCAA